GATGGAAACTAATCTCAACTGAGGCCTCTTCTGAGGTTGAGGTTAACTGTGGTAGGTTAATGGTTCGACCTTCGAGGAAGCCGAAAGGTTCAGTCGAGCTGCTGAGGACCGATCTACCGCTGCTCTCTGCGAGGCCTGCTGTCTGCTGCTCCCATCCGAGGCAGATCCCAAACGACCCTATTTGAAATGTACCCATGCCTATGGTGATGGTATGCATTCACTGTATGCGTAGGTTTGGCATGTGAGTGCTCGCTGCACGTATCGTGTCTAGTAGAGCAGTACCCCGATGTGAGAGTGGAGCTGGACATGGATTGGTTCTGTCCCCGTTGCATTAAGCGTGCTCGTAGAGGTATGAGGGATGTCTCTAAGTCGTCTTATTCCTCCTCAGATACATCTTTGGCGTGGCTTTCACAGGAGGAGACCGGATTTGGATTTAACTGGAGCTCAGACATGTCCATGGCCGACTTTATAGCGCATAATGACTCAGTGTGGGTCCTCGTGATAGTAGGCTGGGGGACCCTATCGCCGTAGCAGATGTGAGAAGATCTTTGGAAGGGCACATCCGGAAGAATCGGCGGTTGAGGAGGTCTTCTGGAAAGTTGTGAATTTCGGTTCAGCCCGGGACGACAGTTCACCGGCAGAGGCAGCATATGATGACATCTGGTAAGCAACGACGAGTCGTGTCCGACCCTGTCCGAGTTATGGTGTAGTTATGGCAATGATCTGGACTCAGCTGAAGTGTCGAGCAATGTTTTTCCTAGGGCGGGGACACCCTACGACCTAGCAGATGGAGAGCAGTGGTCTCTTCGTAGGCCCTCGACTCAGCACACCTGGTACCAGCCGTCCCTAGGTACACTACCCTTACTACCTGACAGTGTCCTCAACGAGTATTTACCTTCCCATGGCGGCGGTCCTCTGGACATAGCCGGAGTCACTCGGCCTTGGGTCTATCTTGGCTCGGTAGGCTCCCTCCTCCACTGTCATGTGATTCACCACCTTTGTCGTAGGCTCTGAGTGCCTTCTGTTGGCATGCAGAGGATCAGTACTTGTACAGTATAAACTTCCATCATGCAGGAGCTGCCAAGATATGGTCAGTGTCCCTCCTGGTGCCTCGGCCTTCAGAGCCTCCTATTAGGTACAGCGTACCAGGTCGACAGGCGAGGGCGATGGAGGACCTCTTCCGAAGGGAATTACCAACACTGTGCAGCAGCATCCCGGATTTGACCCAGGTGATCCCAGTGTGATCTATGCAAGGATGTGGGCATCAGTTGTCTCTCAGCACATGACCACTATGATCGACCCTAAGGTGCTTCTGACTCAGGGGCTCTTGGTCACACGAGGAGTCCAACGCCCAGGTGCCGCTGGCATGGTCCTTGTCATTTGGAGAGAGCCTCATATGCTTTTAGGGGACATCGTGCTTACCTTTCCGGGTGCTTATCATGGCGGATTCAATGCTGGTATCAATCTGGCGGAAGCGGTGAATGTACCGGCAAGAGACTGGATAACCATGGGCTCGGTCGCAGGTGAGAGCTCATCGTATCGAGACTAGTGAAGGGTCTTCTTGGGCAGGTCGGGCCTACACCAAGTTGTGCCGACGGCCCATTTTCTGTTTCGATGATTTGGTAATCAACATTTGCCGTGTGTATGCGACAGGAGAGGAGATGAATCCTATGTTGGCACTGCAAGCCATGAGGCATCTTCACTATATCAAACGCCAACGGACGGCTACTCCCAAAGTAACCACCTCTTTTTCTTCCTACTACTACTACTACTACTACTACTACTACTACTACTACTACTACTACTACTACTACTGGTCCCGTTACCTCATGCATGGGGTCAGGCCATACCTACTTCGCCTCGTTCGTCCAGTGATATCCTCTCTCGAGTCGACCCTGAGAAACCATGGTTGATCATCAACACCTCGAGGCCTCGCCGCACTGTGTCACCACTGGGTTTCAAGCACACCGGTTCGCCAGCATCCAAGTAAGAAGCTCTATCCAGCAGCAGTATGGTTTTAACTGTTCTCTCAGGAGCATAGCATACCTCTACGGCTACGAGCCCGATGGCGCCCTTTGCTGTATATGCCGCCAATTTTGCTCTGTTGTGGCTGGAGAGTGTCGGGATTGCGGGTAGGTTATCACCTTGAGGAAATCGTCATGTTAGAGTTCACTTCAGGTTGGTTTATTGTAACCTGCATATAGGATCATGCTGTGGCCATCCAGTGAGCTCTAAGGTCATTCATCACGTCCTGGCCCCAGAGGACCTGTCCAAGATCCTCGAATGTGAGGGGAGAGTTACGGTATAGCTCAGCCTAGTGGGAGGGTTTCTGATCAGGTTGCCAACGGCGTTATAAGAGGTGGAGACTGTGGTCCCGCAAGATAGAGAGAGTTCACCGTTCGGTGGCCCTGTACCTTGGGGAAACTCCTCAACAGCCTTCCATAGCACATGAGGTCCACTTAGACGATTTAGAGTGTATGGACAGCGAGGGTGACCTCACGCCGACCAGGCCTGATAGACGGGCGAAAGAGAACGCAATGAGGTCGTGGAAAAAGAAGAAGTGCGCGGCAACGGAACCTCCTGCAAATGACATAGTTGGCAGGTCGCCTTCTATGACCAGTACCAGTACATTATCACCGCCATCCTCTCCTCGAAGTGCATTGGCACTTCGAGTGGATATGTCTACCATATCGTCCCTCTTGGATGAGCGGGAATCCGAGGGAATCCCATGGAGAGTCCCGATAGATCCCCCTAACGCTGACTGGCTCTTCGGCCTTAAGGAACGCTGTGGAGATCCTTGGGAGACTCGGATAAAGGCTTTATTAGACGGCAATGAGCCCATCAAATTCGACAGGCTATTTGATCTGCTCAACGACGTCATAGTGAACACAACTCCTGTTCGATGCCCAAGAGAAGATGAGCTCATCGATAAGTTGACACAGTAAGGGCATGCTCATTCGAAGGCTCTCTATGTAGCTTTTATACAGGGTAATGCATCTTCGTTCCGTCATTCGAACGGCGCTCGGTATGAAGCCTCTTACCTCCCGAGAACGAGGGATTCACATCAAGAGCAACTGCACGGTGAGGAAGTTGGTACATCAGCACAGCTGATTCAAACTGGCGTCTTCCTCCTTCAGAGCGCCTCTCCCGACGACCCATGTAGACTCAAGCAATCGAGTACAGGAGGCTTCGTCTTGGCAGGTAAGCGAAGCCAGTAGTTCTTTGGTGGATGGATACCGTTCATTGATCAACTGGCAGGTACACATGGAGCTTTGGGCAAGTTTCGCATTGGTGATGAGATTCCTCTATCGGAAGCACTATTGCGGGCTGAAACGGCATTAGTCCAGGCCAGAGAACTAGGAGTGACGGATTTACCAGAAGAACCGTGAGTTTGCTTCAGTGAGTATTCACGGTCTTGACGAATTTTAGGCTCATTCACGACTGTGTCTCGATTCTGACTAATATGGAGAAGTCCTCACGAGGAGGGGCGGCCGCTCGTGGCCGTGATCTCGAAGGAAGAGCTAACAGTACATTATGGAAGATAACTGCGACGCATCATACTTGAAGTCGATAGTTCCTCCCAGCAGTTTTCGACCCGTTAAGATTGTGATTCAAGCTGATTTATTAGAGTTAAGCTCCGGATTCCTGGAGTGTTGTTGTGTTCCATGGACCCAGTAGAGTGTGGGCAGGAGCTTTTAAATCAGGGGACAAAAGTGTGAGTTCAACACGAGGATGCAAGCGGGCGTGTCCCTATTCGGATTCCCAACGGGTTCCAATTGAGTTCTCACTCATGGATGCTGCGAGTGGTAGAAGTATCGATCGATCTCGCAAAACTCGAGAGCGATGGATGATACAAACCAGGAGCCAAGCCTCACTACTATACTCGCAGCATTGGTTACGGAGTCGGGGAATGTCGTCCCTATTCCCTCAGTTTAGTTTCCGAACCAGTCGTCAGTGACCGCTAGTGACTTCTTCACTGTTTCAACTTCTTCGCACAAACTCAACACGTGCGAGTGGCGATTAAACAATATGGCCCCATCCGAGAGAATCATCGTTGCTACTCTGGATCATAGTTTCCGACTATCATCCGCTCGAACATCTCGAGCACGACTCGATTGAAATCGAGTGAAAGACGGAATAGAACAAGACCTTACTGCGACACGACTTCGCGTTTCTGCTTCCAAAGAGCGACAGCTGGGATGTCGTGAACCAG